TACCAATTGACCGAGCTTCAACCTAACTACAATTTCCACAGAAAAAGAACAACACAGCTTCTCAAAACAAAATTCAATCATTCCTCACAAAAATATCCTTTACAGCCAAAAGAGGAAAAAAAAACAAAGCAGTATCCACAAAACCCACAATTTCAAAAGGTCATATGAACAGGGGATGCGAAACAATCGAAAACAGTTGGTGGGTGTCGACCAAACCCTAGACAAATTGCAGCCCTTTGTCAGTACAAATCATGAAGCAATAGAGATTCTAAAGAGTCAATTTGAGTATTCTGACATTCATAAGAAACTTACCCACTRCACAAAAGRATGGATTCCRCCGTCGATCAAAGCCATGGAGGTCGTCGTCCTCRTTACTGTCKCTGTCGATCGAAGCCATGGAGTTCCCCATCTTATGTTGTTGTCGYYATCGAARGCTGTGGACTTYGACTGTCGCCACCAGACTCRCTATTCTACCTATTTCACGCGACAATGAGGTGAGAGATAAAGACCACAAAATTTGGTGGAAAGTTAGTGTTAGGGTTAAAAATAAAATTTGGGCCACTTTTGATGGCGGGCCCAAATGATGATCTACTATGTCGGGCCTTGCCCGACATTGAAATATAATTTCTTTTCTTTTTTTATTTTTTAAATTGTCCGTCATTGTTTCCTCTGTGTTTTTTTGTCCGTCATAGTTTCCTCCGTATTTTTTTTTTGTCTGACATTAAAACTCATATTTGTTGTAGTGGGTAAAAGGAAATTTAGGGGTTTACAATCAAGACAACATAGTTATTTACTTGCATGATATTCATACAAATGTATTACTCGTAGCTTGAATTCTCTTCTCACATCTTCTTTGAGCACTAAGCACCTTGAAGAAGTAACATCAACTGATTGTTTCTTGGAAAATACTTCTCCAAATTTCATCTCTTTCATTAAGGAAACGAGGTGACTTCGTTCCATGATGTGACTTTTTTTTTTTTTTTGCAGTACATAGTTTGGATAATGGCTTGAACAGTGAGAATGTAATATCATGCAATGTGTTTTTTAATTGTTATCTTGACAAAGGTAGAAATATTGAAGATAATAAATGAAAAATGTCCAAGGTTTAAGTATTGTGTGTAGAGTAAAAAAAATGGAAAATTAAGCTCAAATGTGGCTTTCTAAAGGAAAATKTAAAAAGGTTGGCTTTTAGAAATCYGAAATTTGGGTAAGCCTAAATTGCCCTTGTCATATTAAAGCATCACTTCAAACATGTGGTCACAAAATATRTTCATAAGCAASTTCTAGAATAATCATGCTAAGTTTGATCACACTCATCAAGAAAAATAAATAGAGCAAAATGTAATGTATTGCTCAAAAGYTTAAAAAGCTCACTTGGGTGTGTAAATTGCATCAAGTCCAGTGCATTTTTCAATSAACAAATCAATGAAATACTATCATAAAATTTTGAAAGAAAAACACTAATCATGCTCATCAAATTTCATGTATAAAAAATTCAAACCAAAGATGCATTCTTAACATACAAAGTATTCAAGGGTATTGATCAAAATATCAAGGTTTAAAAAAGGATAAAACAGCATAACRAATCAAGATATACTGAGTATAAAGCATGAAAAAGATGTAAGTTTGAAAGACTCTTTCGAAAGATGACAAAAATCTCCCCCACACCTAAACTATACGATGTCCTCAACGTATAACTATGTAACTTGCTTATAAAAGGAGAAAATTGAAACTTCCTTGATTTGAAGTTACTTGGACTGAATAGTTTAAGATGTTGGCGATGGGAAAAATGTAAGCATGCWATAAAGTTGGACTTCTTCTTTTAATATCTAAACAAAAATCAAATAAACAAAGTGAATCAAAATAGAAAGACAAAAAATAAAATAAAATAAAATGAAGAAAATAAAATAAAGAAAACATTTGGGTTGCCTCCCAATACCGCAACAATTTAACGTCAGTTTGCTTGACGGTGTGCATAAATATTTCAATCATCCAAAGTCTAACGGCACAATAGAAAGTGACATCATATTAATTGAGGCAGAAATTTCAGCATTTAATGGTTCTGTCAACCCTTCAGCACCAATATCATTAATAATCACTTTAGTCTTATAATCAAAATTTTCCTCTGTAATTATATCATGTGTATCTAGATCATTCATGTTATTTCGATACAGAGAATGTTCAACATTAGTATCGAAAATATTAAATTTTACAATATCTCCATCTAATTCTATTGAAAAAGTGCCTCCATCCACATCAATCTTCGTTTTAGCAAATTTCATAAATGGACGTCCCAACAGAATGGAGGCTGACTTTGATGAAGGGTTACCATCCATTTCTAAAATATAGAAGTCAACAGGGAATGCGAGCTTATTAACCTGCACTAAGATATCTTTAACAACTCCGAGTGGGTTAACGTAAGAATGATCAAATAATTGAACCACTACACCAGTCTTTGGTGAGTCTTTTAACTTTAACTCTTGATAAMTAGAAAATGCCATCATCTTTATGGAAGCTCCTAAATCTAACATGACATGTTCAATTTTGTTATTATTAATCACACACGGTAATGAAAACATACCGGGATCCTCGCATTTTTCTGGTAAGTTATTTTTCATGATAGTTGATAGWTTCTTACATACCTCWACTATCTCATTTTCATTATCTTTCYTTTTTTGTTCGTTAAACCTACTGGGAAAAGGAGGTGGTGAAGTGTAAGATGAAAGAGATAAAGGAGGATCAAAATTTATTCCGCATGATACGTTAGGAGAAGTTTCTTTCTTTTCTTCGCTCAACTCATTCTGCTTGAGTGGAATTGATACTAGAGGGATATCYTCTTCATTTCTCAACATAACCGCACTAATTTTTTCCACTTGATTCWTTTTTGGATTCACTTCTATTTGTGAGGGTAATSTTCCAGAACTTTGAGCTTCCAATCTACTCATTGATGTAGCCAATTGGGTAATTTGGTTGCCCAAATTTTGCATACCAACCCTTGTTTCYTGTTGAAATTGAAGAGTACTATTAGCAAGATTTTTAACAATTTCTTCTAGAGACATACCTGAGTTTGAAGCTTGAGTTTGCATAGGAGGTGGAGGTGGTCTGATGAAGTTTTGATTCCCATAGCTGAGATTTGGATGGTCTCTCCATCCAGGATTATAATGATTGGCGTATGGATCATAGTTTCTTTGTGGAGAAGAAAATCTCCCTATAGCCTTGACCTCTTGAATGAAATCTTGTTGAAATTGAGGGAATGTATTTGTAGGATATCCTTGAAGTGCGTACATTTCACGTGGTTTTTCTCCTACAGCAATTTGACGAACTAAAGTAGTTAGATCGGAAATTTGACTTTTAAGTTCACTTACCTCGTTGACTTGTGTAACAGATCCTCCAGTTCTAAATCCAAATTGTTGGGAGTTTTCAGCCATGTTTAAAATTAGTGGCTTGGCTGCTTCTGGTGTCTTGTCTACCAAAGCTGCTCCACTAGCTGCATCGATCATACTCCTATCCATTGGTAATAATCCTTCGTAAAAATATTGGATGAGGTGTTGATCAGAGATTTGATGATGGGGAAAACTAGCGCATAATCTCTTAAATCGTTCCCAATACTCGTACAATGTCTCCCCAGAGATCTGTGTGATTCCATAAATTTCCTTTCTAATATTTGCAGCTCGTGATGCAGGAAAGAATTTATCTAGGAATAGTCTTTTCATCTTGTTCCATGTTGTGATTGATCCAGAAGGTAGATAATAAAGYCAATCTTTTGCTTGATCCTTTAAAGAAAAGSGAAAAGCTCTAAGGTTGATTTGCTGCTCARTTACTCCATGTGGCTTCATTCSAGAGCATACRATATGGAATTCCTTCAAATGTTTATGAGGATCTTCACCTGCACATACACGAAAAATAGGAAGTAAGTGTATTAATCMAGATTTTAATTCAAAATCATTTTCAATATTAGGAAAAGTTATGCAAAGAGGCTGTTGATTCAAATCTGGTGCCGCAAGCTGTTTTAATGTTCTATTCGCCATCTCTTCGTTGAATTCCAAACRTCGTCTTCTMTTCCTTCTTAACTGGCGCAATGTCCTTTCAATTTAAGGATCAAATTGTAGTTCTATATTCTTAGAAGAACGAGTCATAAACAGTTAAATTAAACAATGAGAAAATAATAATGGCTCCCCGGCAACGGCGTCAATTTTGATAAGGGTTGTCGAGACCCTCCAAAATAATTACTGATTTTASTAAATCTAACTTGTAGAWGTAGTGAGACCAGGTCGAATCCCAAGGGAACCAGTGAAATTAATTTCTCAAAGTTAAAAAAATAGGGGGTTTTGKATTTAAAWTTTGAAATTTAAAAAGATAAACTAAAAGRAAAACRAAAGTTAATGTTACCAAGCTTYCAATCMAAATGTGTGATTTTCATCCAATTGTAATCTTGATCATAGGCWTTATATAAAAAATCGATTTCTTGATTCAAKAACTTAGTCTACTTACTCRGAACGGYCGTGGTAAGTTTTAWTTCTCCTAATTTAATTAATTTAGACCRAGCATCAAAATTAAATCTTATTARTTAATCAACTGGGCACGATAGCGTTCCATATTAATCAAAGAATAACATTAAGGATGATGATAATRACTAAACCAAAATCAATTAATTTGAAATAGTTGCAAGTTAATTAATTTTGTCCCTTTGTTTCCGTAGAGTCTATTATGTCAGCTTTGTAAACATGAAAAAGCCATAAATACACACACATAAGCCAACCCCTTGCTACTTATTTCAATCATTCATGACAATTACAKATCACAAACTCATGGATAGCAGTAGAACAATTAATATGAATTAATGCGTCAATTTAATTAATATAAATTGTTCATAAATAATAAAAACAAGAAACAAAGAATACTTGAAGAAAAAAAAGAAATCTCTACCTAAATTGAGCCTCCCAAGCTTACAATCAGATTTGGATGACCCTTGAGTTGGAAAAATTAAAGTCTAGCCACTCATGATAGAGAGAGAACTTGAAATTTGGAGAAGAGAGCTTTTCGTTGGAACTTGGATCATGGATCTCCTAATAAGGTTTCTCTATTTATAGAGATTAACTTTATCCTCTTTTAAGGAGGAATTATATCTAATAAGGAATTCTTAACTAATTTGGGAAGATCATTTTTAAAATAAAACAAATTAATAAAAGAGTTCCTAATCAATTTAGGATTGTGTTTCCTACTTTAATTATCTTTCTTTATTTTCAAAATATCCTAAAAATTCATACTTGAAGCGTCCCGCCATAATAATTGTGTCTGTATTTATCCGTTAAGCTCTCGCCAATTTGGTGAAGTCCACATTATCCTYTAAAATTGCGTTTTTTTAAATGTTCAACATGACAGGGCCACTAGCAAGGGTGCTCGGGGTGTTGGCGAAGGCACTAACGGGGTGTGCGGCAAGAAGGAGACATGTTGCATGGGACATGCACGGTAGGGGCATGCAGTAGGGGCAAAGCGCAGAACGTGCGACATTAGACGTAGGCGGCATGGGCAGGGCATGCACGGTGTGTGGCGCGCGCACATCGTGTGTGGCAATGGTGTAGGCGTGCGCGTTGTGGGCATTTTGCATGCAGTGGTGTTATCGTCTTGGTGTGACTTGGCTCTGATGACTCGTTTTTAAATATGATTATATCAAAAGAACTTAGGTAGAGCTTTATGTGACTTATCTGCTAACATTAACCATATCCCCTTAGGAAAAATAGGCATAGGAGAAGCTAGACCCACAACTGTTACTCTCCAATTAGCAGACAGATCCATTAAAAAGCCTAAAGGAAAAATAGAAGATGTTTTAGTTTARGTAGATAAGTCTATCTTTGATGTAGACTTTACATCATTCTAGATTGTGAGGCAGACTTGGGCCTACCTATCATCTTAGCGAGGCCTTTCTTAGCTATTGGAGATACTGTGTTTGATGTATGAAAAGGAGAAATAGCAATGAAGGTTAAAAATGAGGAGGTTAAATTCAATGTTTTAGACACAATGAAGCTATCAAGAGATTTAGAAGAATGTTMAGCCATTTATACTTTTAGTCCTGCGTTGTTTGATGAGTTTTATTACCTATTWGTTGCAAGAATAAAAGAAGAGTTAGAGCCTGTATAAGATGAATGCCCAAAAGTAACAAGAGATTGCAAGATGTTGCAACCATCCATCATGGAGCCACCTAGTTTGGAACAAAAGTCTTTACCATCTCATTTAAAATATGCTTATCTCGGAACTAATAAAGCTTTTCCTATCATTATATCTTCTTGTTTGTCTACTGACAATGAAATATTGTTATTGCAGATTCTGGCAAAGAATAAGAAGGCGATTGGGTRTGTTCGATTTCATGCCCTAAACTCGTGGTTTGTAAATGTAAAACAAATTATTTATTCAATAAGGTTTTCTTTGAAGTTTTAGAATTGCATTGACCCAAATTCAATAAACTAACATCCAAGGTTATTTAATGTAACTGGAACAGTATATACCTCATCCTTGTGACACTAAGGATACGACTCACTTTCTAAAAGTTACAAATGGCTTGACCCAAGTCGTTCATGTGGAGACATGCGAATGGGGGTATTTTATACAATGAATTTGTATAAGATCGGAGCACAAAATTATTAATCTTTAGTTGTAACACCGTTAACTAATTAGATTAATATTTCACAGTATGACCATGTAACTCGATCTCAATCTTGAGTGAGTTATGAACTCCAACCCATGAGGAATTGTCTTTTGATTTGTATGGGTGAGAGTGGCCCGAGATGCCGACTCAATATGCCTAACTGACACGACCCGTCCTAAACACCAATTAACTATAGGACAAGTCGTGCCGACTACAAACCCTCAACCATCTACCAAGTCTGTAGTCAATTACTTTCTAAATTTCTAAAACTAATTTAGATTATTTTTCAACATATAAAACATAAACTGTAACATAATTCATGTCAAAAATAACTATTCGGCCACGACTTCTAAACATGTTGTACGACCACAAAAGGTACAACTATTCCAGTATAAGTCATTCTAGATGTACATACAAAATGATATGCAAATTCTGAGACGGTGAGTGGCAGAAACTGGTCGGCTATCTCTATGAAACTCAGGTGCAGCCTGGAAGAGAAAAACAATGATAAACAGTGAGGTAGGAAGCTCACTGAGTGGCATTTTAATAAGGAAATAATTTTGTAAAACTTCTTCCATAAAAAAATAACTGAGATTTAAACTCTTATAACAAACTTCTCTAAATTGAAATAATAAGCTTTCTCAGCAAAACTTCATATACTTTCTAAAGAAACACATTTTAAATACATATCAAATATCTTCTTTCAAACCTAAAACAGATTAAAGAAACTCAACACCATATATGTATCCACATTCTATTCTGGTCTACTAGCGCAGAGTAATAATCTCAATGCGCATAGCAGATAATTCTATTTCTGGTCCACTGGCATAGAGTAATCTCAATATACACAGCAGAATATTTCTCTCAACGCGCGGAGTAAAATGGTCCCAAAGACCTTCTATTTCTGGGTATACTATAGAAACACATTCACATAGCATACGGGTAATCACCTGGATACAACAATATGGTGGTTTGAAAACGATTCTCAGAAAATTGTCAATCTCATAAACAGTTCTAAAAAATCTTTTTTCTTTCTTTCTAAGAACATTTCTTTCTCAAATCACTTCTAAACATAATTCTTTATTATCATATTTAGTAAACACAACAGTTTCTCAAAAATTCATAAACATTTCTATGTTCTTAGAAGCATTCATAAATTCTCAGCAAACTCAATTTCTCAGCAGAAATAATCAAACATACGTAATATTTTTTTTTCTTGAAGTTCTATAATAGATATCTTAAAAAATTAGTAAATTAACCACTCACAAATCCTATGAACGAGGTGAATTTGGTTGGTACGCTGCTCCAATTCCTGTATGACCTTCAATTTCTTCTCCTTTCCCCTCTGCTTTCTTCTCTTCTCCTTGCTCCCTTTCTTTTCAGTTCTCTTTTTTTTTTCCTT